TGATCAGTATATTTTTTAAAGATTCATTTATTGATACAGAATTGTGGTACAGGCAAGAGAGGCAGATCGACGAAGTACACTGCTGAGGGGAGCAGCGGGCGGGCCAGGAGAGGTCTGCCGTGCCATGTGGTCACCTCCGGGGCAGACGGGAATTGAGCTCATGCAGAAGTGGCTTTAGTTTCTCAGTGCCGTGCCTTAACCCGCTGCGCCACCAGGGAGGGCCTATTGTTGAACTTTTATTAGTGAAAAATATAAAGGTGCATTTCTTAGGTACTTGGGTATGTAGTCTGAAGCCTTTCTTCCCAGAGGAAAGCTGGAGGTGTGCTTCCGGGGGCGGGCATGGTGGGCCTTGGCCGTAAAACCCCAAGTGCCACATCGAGAAGGCAGCCAGGCAAGGGCAGAGGGCGGCGGGACGTGGCTGAGTCTTACCCCTGAGATGACAGCACAGTCAGGTCAAGGTGTCCTTGGACTGGAAGTTGGACTGGTGTCCTTGGACTGGAAGTTCAGCCGAGCAACAGCTACGCACTGACTCTGGGGGATGTGGACATCCTAACAGCCATGGGCTTGTTGGTGAACTTTCAGGGGTGAGTTGCATGGCATGTGAACTAGACACAGAGCGGGGAGCAGAACAGGCAGATCTATGAAGTACACTGCTGAGGGGAGCAGCGGGCGGGTCAGGAGAGGTCTGCCGCACCCTGTGGGTCAGCTCCCTGGTTGGGGATTGAACCCATGCTGCGGTGGCTACAGAGAGCTTCATAGTGCTGTGCTTTAACCCGCTGCACCACCTGGAGGGCCCCATCTCAGTATATTTTTTAAAAGTCCGTTGAGCAGCCCTTTCGTGGGCATGCTTTTATTGCCAGCACCCTGATAGCTACTAGAACAGCCCCTTGAAGCTCAGCTCTGCTAGGCCTTTCTGAGACCTGGGCAAATGAGGCTGGGGCAGGAAGAAGCGCCACTCTGGACACTTCCTAAGGGCCCACTGTGGTGTTCGTCCCTTGGGGACCACGCAGTAAAGGCAGCTAACCTCCTCTGCTCCCTTCCGATGGTGGCCACCTGCAGCCTTTGGATTTGGTGAGTTTACAATGAAGAGTGATAAGTTGAAATTGTTGCCAAGAACTTGGCAAGGAAAACTCCATCAGATTTTCAGCCTATAAATTTTCAGTAATGGTTCCTCTGGCAAGGCCAATTAGTGTCAATTAGTTCTTGGAAACCAACACTTAAGCAAGGGGACGTATTGCTTACCAGGAAGCACTGGGTTTTAAGTCTGAATGAAATGTCTCCCTCTAAAACCCCAGCTGTCACAGCCCGGGGGGTGGCGGGGGGGGGGGGCAGTTACCAAAACAAAGAGGGATCTTCACCACTGCCTTGCTGCCCAAGATCTCAGCTGGAGGACTTGAGCCAGACACAGGCAGTCGTGCCTGCTCAGGACTCGAGAGGAGATAGGACTCACAGGTCAAGGTGTTCTCACTGCGTGGTAGAGCCAGGTATGGTGGAATCACTGAGGAATTGTTTCTAGTAACGTCTCTCTTCAAGTCACCTTGCACTTGTTGACTAGAACTCTCTACTTTGTCCCTTGACGGTTATCTCAACCCCCTCACTTTCGACCAGCAGAGCTCCAGCGGAGACCCCTACTCATGAGCGCGTCCACACCAGGTTGTCCTGTGAATGCTTGCAGGAATTTTCTCATTTCATCCCCACATCTTCTGAATTAGGGACTATTTTTAATCTTGTTTATGAGAAAACTAAGGACTGGAGGATTTGAGTTGATTTGTACTTGATCTGGGTTACATCCTATGTTGAAACCTGGCTGCCGGAGATCTTGACCTTAATTTTCAAGGTCACTTTCATCACTGCCACCATCAGCAGAACTTCGGTTTGAGCTACAGTGCCGAACATTGTACATTTGGGACACAGTGGCATTAAATTCATTCTCTGGGAATGTAAACACTGCTCCCGCTTTCCACTTTGGACGCTGACATGTGGGAATGAAGATCAAAGTCTTGAGCCACAAAGCCTGCATGATGCCAGGCTTGGCCCTTAGGCTCACAGTCACTTGGGATGCTGCCTGCCCAGTCAGACCTGGGAGTGAGGCCGAGGACACTATTGGCCAGCCTGGCCGCTCTGAACCGCCCTCCCTACTTCAAGGAAGGGGTGGGGGGGAGAAAAGGGCTTTTGTCTGCATTGTGTTGGGACAGAATACCCAAAGACAGTTCTGCATACAGAAATGCATCGTTAGAATAATTCCTCCAGCAGGAATGAGGGAGGGGAATGTAATGAACAGGCCAGTATTTAAGAGGAGGATGAGTTCTCTGGGCAGCCACCTTCCTCCCTCGTGTACGTGCCACTTCATCAATGACCCCTGAAAATAAAAGACACTTGATAACTTTAACCAGCCAAGAAATGTAAGCCATCTGCTTACGTTTCCCTCTCATCAATGTGTGAAAAGGGGGGTCCCAGTTTCCTTCCAAGGAGACTAACAGGCCGAGAGAAATTAGTCTTGAGAAAAGGTGTCAAATTCCTAAACTGAAATCTGGTTCCTGGCTGCGGAGGAGTTTAATAAGGATATCAGAAGAGGAAATGCAGATGAGGACGGAACAAGTGGGCTCCGTGGGGAGTCATAAAGGATTCATTCATAAAAAGTTATGCCTCTATTATGCCTGGATTTTCACACACTGCCCTGGGAAAATATGCAATGCACAGTTTTTCAGAGCAAGATGCATACTTTCCCAATCCGCCCTAATCCGCTCTCCCTCCCGCCAAAGGGGCATTGACCAGCCTCCTCTCGGCAGATCTCGTGGCACTGACCCCTCCCAGGGACCAGCTTGGCCCACACAATACACTTGTTCCTAACACAAAAGTTCACTAACAACTGCATTTGGAAATATCAGAGCAGGCCAAGTAGTTGGCAAAGGAGAGCGGCTACAAATGAAGAATGACGCTTCCAGGCACCGGGCCAGGCCTGGCAGCACCGCGCATGCGCAGCGCTGCACCCGAGTGTCAACTGGGCGCTCGCACCCCAACCATCGGAACCAACAAAACACCACTACCGACGACGACGAACGGCAAATGCTCCATCTGACCAGCGAACGTGTAGCCACAGAGACCAGGACCTATAGTGAGAAAATTCCTGTTGCAAGTTTAAGAAAGACCTTCAGGGCCCTCCCTGGTCGTGCAACGGGGTAAGGCACAGCGCTGAGAAGCTAAAGCCACTCCAGCATGAGTTCGATCCCCGCCTGCCCCGGAGGTGACCACATGGCGCCTGAGTTTGATCCCCGGCTAAGGGAGCTGACCCACATGACACAGCGGACCTCTGCTGTCTCAGCCGCTGCTCCCCTCAGCAGTGTGTTTCAGTCCATCTGCCTCTGCCTGTTCTGCTCCCCACTCTGTCTCTGGGGAATCCTCTCATCCCCAACACCTCTGGCCTGTATCCCCGTTCTTGTGTACATAAATAAAAATATCTTTTAAAAAAAAGATTCACCCTAGAAGTATACAAACTACGAAGCTGTTGCTGACTCCTTTTGTCCCTTCTCAGTGCTAAACCTTCCTGCCACCCAGGCCCCTTTCACCCACCTGATACCACATGTGCCCAGGGATTCATGGGTAAGTGGACTATGCCCTGAGCAGCTCATGCGGATTCTGACTCTGTCCCAGAAATCTGTACACATCAAAGTCTCCCCAGCTGGCATGTAGCCAGGTTTGGGGACCTCTGCTACCAGGAATCCAGCATTCCGTCAGCACCCCGACAAAGCCAAAGCCACACCTTGCCAGAGCGGCCAGCACACTTGACGCTGCTCACACTGGCAAAAGCAGAATCCAGGGCAGAGAGCCGCCCCCGTCATGGAGCGGGGAGCGTCCTGGTGTGCACCGCTTCGCCCAGGCACTTGGCAGTCTACCTTGCTGGATTTCTCCTGTGGTGGTGACCTGTACTCCGGCGTAAAGCCTTCCCTGGCTCCTCACCAAAGCACCAGGTGGACACAATTTTCTACCCGCTTGTGCCTGATTTAAATTCATGGCCCTTTGGACAGAAGGGCCAGGTGCTCTTCCCAACGCAGCTGACCTGGCTGAGCCCCTGGGCCGTAAGGAAGCCTAACAGGGTCCCCCGTCCAGCCAGACCCTTCTGAACCCAGGGATCGGACACCGAGCCAGGCTGGGTCTGGCCGTGAAACTCCCCTGCTCCCCCCTCTCCTTTCTCTTCTGCCCGCTCCTTTCTCTGCTGTCCTATAAGCAGCTGTCTCAACTGGTCATTCATAGCACCAGGGTGGCTTTTCTGCCCATGTGAAGATATGCTGGGGACAAAGTCCTCACTGAGAGCTTAGTCTCACAGACTTGACCCGCTAAAAATGAGGACAAGCTATTCTCAGTCCTTTTGATCCCTGGTGAATCTGCTTCTCTCTGGCTCCACCAGAGGAGAGCAAGAGGGAGGCACCCAGAGAGGTGGGGAGAGAGACTCATTCGTCACACTGGTGGGCTCAGTGGGCCAGCTCCCAAAAGTCCGAGCCATGGATAGCAGGAATAGCAAGGTTTTCTATAGTGTGTATGCGGAAGCGTCACCCTGGCCATCATGACTTTCTTTATTGTTTGGGAAGGGGTCAAGGTAGCCGTGACTACTACTGTGGGCCAGCAGCATACCATAGGGACTGTCCGCTCTCGCCAGCAGCAGGCTCCAAGCAGCAAACTTAGCAGCTTCCTGCTTCAATGGTTGCCATCCAGACCACACGACTGGTCTTCCACATGACCGTCCCTGGACACCCACGAGCTACCCCACTCTGGCTACCCAACCTGGGTGAACTGGCCCTTCTCGTTATGCAACCTGCCCACCGCCTCTCGGGGCCAAGCTGCCTTTTCATGGAGGAGTTCATGTTCTGTCCATCTCCCCAAATTAAGCATACTTAATCATAAGAAAATGAGAAAATACAGCTAAGCCAAGAACAGAGACATAATAATAATAATAATAATAATAATAATAATAACAATAATAACAATAATAATAATAATAATAATAAACCACTCTGCTATCCAGAAATAACCACTGTGTGCAATTTGTTTTAATTCGGATGGATGTCTATATTGTAGGTAGCAAAATGGTTTTGCCCAGTTGTGTTTTGTCCACATGGTACTTACAGTAATTTGTCGTAATTGTGGCCAGGATCTTCATTATTCAGTTTTTCACAACCCCACCACTCCTTATCTATAATGTCAGCCATCTCATTTATTTACACTTCACCTCGAGTTTGCAATGCCTACATATACTAGACATACATGTATTTTTGTTAAAATGGAATCTTGCACATTCTACCTGTCATACCTTCTTTGTCGAACAATGTAAGCTGAACACCTTTCTGTATCAATGAAGAGTCACCCCCCACTTTATCTTTAATAGCTGGATAATTTTCCATTGAAACGAGTATCATAATTTATTCAGCTAACCCCTACGGTTGAACGTTTCAATTGTTTTCAATTTTCCCTGCTCCAGTGAACAGCCCTGGAGCTGGGACTTTGCACACTTCCTTAATTAGTTCCCTAGGATAAATTCCAAGAAGTGGAATGGCTGGGTCAAAGGATATTCGCAGTTTTAAAAGCTTTTAACATGTGTGGCCAAATGGAGGGTTGAGACTTTTACAATGACACAGACCCCTGAGAGCTTCCTGTGGCTGAGACAGGCTGGACCCTTCCAAACATTAACAGCGCCACGCAGCACACCCCAGCACTTCTCTCGGAGAGTTTCTAAAGTCAACTCACCCAACAGGGGGGCCTTCCTCCAGTAACCATCCCGGACCTCCACGTAATCGTACCAGCACAGGCGACTTTTAAACAAATCCATGGATGTGAAGTTTAAGATGATCTGTAAAGAATGACCGCAAAATGAGTTTAGGCAGCAAAGCCCAAGTTGTCTAGGAAGATCCAGGTTGCACTCAGGCATTCTCATGTTACACTCTAGCAGCCAGAGCCCAGACCACAGTGGGAGTATCCTCGCAGACACACGCTCACAGGAAGCCGCGTGACATGAAATAATAAACCTTAGCAGGATGGGGAGTAAACAGAGGAGATGGGTCCTTGGGTTCTGTCTGGGGAATAACTTAAGCTTTTGAAGTCACTAGGTGGTTTACAAAAAGCAAGATGCATTAAAAAGACAGGCCGGGCCTCCTAGAGACAGGGGATTTGGGAGGAGGTAGGGGGTCAAGGAAGTTCAAAGATACAAAAAGATCTTAGAGCGGCATCAATCACTCCAAAGGGGCTGGATTCGCCAGAGCACATCAGAGTACCTCCGGGATCCACGTCCTCTGGAGGGACCTCGCTCTCTGAGGTGTGGTGTACCCAACAGCCTGCCTACATTCATTCGGTCAGTCAGTCAGTCATCTGTCCCACCGCTGTTTGGTTTCCACCTACTGTATGCCAGTCTGTGCTGGCCAATTGAGGTAGCAAGATCAGTATTGCTTTTAGGGGCCCCAGAGAATCAAGCCAATCAGAACATCGTGGAACGAGAAGACAGAAAGGGCTTTCTGGAGCCCCAAGACGGGAGAGAGAAGTTCTGCCTGGTGACACTGAGCCAAGCTTCTCCGAGGAAGTGACATTAAATCTAGGCGGGCAGGGGAGCAGAGCAAGAAAGCACTTGGGTGAGAGGGGAGATGTGTGAACTGTATGCCCAGGGCAGGTCTGTGTGTGTCTGGAGGGCGGCAGCTGGAGGGTGAGGAGTGAAGGCCAGGAGGTGCGGTGCAGGGGGACCCAGCAGAAAGGTTTCTGTTCTTCTGGACATAGGGGACGCTGAATGGGGGCCCCTATCCCTCAACAGCGAAGGCAGCTGGAGGCCACCATGGGCGCACCATACTTCCTGTGCCCACTGCCACCCTTCCAGCCAGGGCCGCCCTGGCAGAGGGCACAGAGCAGGCATTCCCGCTCTCTCCAGCACCCAAGCCCCCTGCTGGAGGTGGCCACGGCTCTGCCCAGACCAGCAGCGCCTCTCCCCTCTGCCCCTGCTCCACACACCCCGCTCTACCCCTTCCCAGCTTGCTCCCAGGGGCCTGCTGATGGCCCTCCTATGTGAACCCCGAACATTTCCTTTGGGGGACCTTGCTCTCTGTCAGTACACTTCTAACATCCTCACCTTCCCTTCTACAGGCCACTTCCTTTTAGCTAGCCCCTCTGCTCTAAGAAAAGCCTTAGACTGGAGGGCCCAAATCGAAAGGAAGGTTCCTGTCCTCACGCTCCTTGGCCACTCTGCTTCGAACCTCTCCTCTCTGGTTCTCGGCACCAGCCTAACGCTTGCTGTCCGCTCTCCTCCGCTGGCTGCTGTCCTCCCTGCTCCGTTCACTCCAAGGCACCTCAAAAGAAAGCACTGGCCTCCAGCTTCCCTGCCTGGAGGTGACCCCCACCCCAGTCCCAGGTGCAGCACCTTGGAGTTATCTCCACTTGCCGCTAGAGAGTCCTCCCGGATCTGGGCACAGACTCTCCCTCGCCCCTCCCCAGCCCCCAGACAGCTCCTCCTGCATTGTTCCTGCTGGGGGGAGTCCCAAACGCCTCCCTGCTGTGCCCTGCTCATTCTCCTCAGCGCTACCACTCACCTGCTGGGGAATCTTGGGAAGACGTGTGTCCTGGACCCCGGGTATCTGCATCTATAAACAGCACCCACACTGTCGGGTTTTGGGGAGCTGTATGGGAAATCGTACAAGGTGTGGGGAGGGCGGTGCCTGGCATACAACAAGTGCTGAATACACAATTTTAAAAATCAAGCCAGATTGGGTGCGCACTTTTTTTCCACAGACACACTGAGTGCGCTTCACAGACTACCTGTCTCGGTTGGCACTGAGGGTGCCCATCACCCCCCCCAGGAAGATCCCACCCAAATTTGAGGCCTCAGGGCAAGCGGCACCTCCTTCCACAAACCTGTGATGGCCCAGGAAATGAAGTCTGCACTAGAAAACAACAGGCCAGCTCCCCTCCATTTTGTCCAGTGCATGTGCACGTGTAGAGCGAGAGTGTGAGAGAGAGAGCGGTGAGGATCTCAGCCCTGATTGCAGGTTTGATTCACCTCCAAAGCTTTAAAAAATGCCAGCCCTTCAGCCCAGTCTCATAAAGACAGGGGTTGTATTTGGATTCCCTTTGTATCTCCCACACTGCTCAAATTCAAGTGGAAGAGCCCAGCGTACCAGCTTGCTGGATGCAACATTAATCGTTAGCTTTTTCAGGAAGGGAATATTATTATAACTTCCTTGGTAACATATTCGTGATCTGAATGAATGCGATAATGATTCAGGTTAATTATTTTAAGTATGTTAGTGAACCACAAGGACCATAGGGGAAGAGGCGATGAACAAGAGGTACTACGCGAATCAATCAAGTTTGCTAATTACTGGCGGCTCTGGGGAAGGCTTGGGGAAGCAGATATTGAAATAATTGTGCAGGAACTTCAGTGATGCATTTTCTCTCTGCCCCCAGTTAACAATAGTAATTAAGGCTCGGTGGATCTTATACAGCTCCAACACAGCACACTGCCTCTGCTATACAGGGCAATTCAACGGCACGGGGGTTACAGAACCCCTCTTCCTACTCCTCCCTCCTGCCTCCCTCTCGGTAATGCCCCCAGCAATACAAGGACAGCCCAGCCAGGCCAGGCCAAGTCTGGAGACTCAGGGTCACGATGGCAAACCCCTGATGGCAACCATGTTGTGTGTAATGCTCGAGCCAGTGGGCACACGTGTGTACGTGTGTGTGTGTGTGCACACGCGCTCATGTGCGTGTATGTGTGCATGGTCACCTGTCAACTAGCCTGTCCCCTTGTGGAGTTACAGAGGATGGTGGCTACGCATCCAGGTTCTCGGAGCCGAATCACTTGGTTCAAATCCCCACTTGACAACAAGACTATGCAGCTTTGGACAAGTCTTACCTGTACAATGAATGTGGGAATAGCAACTGCTCCCATGCACTGTGGTGAGGAGTCAATGAGAGAATCTACACATTATGCTGAGAACAGGAAAAAAGCTACAGAAAATGCCTTCGGTGGTTCCCAACCACCATCTATCTCAAGTTATCATGTTATCTTTAGCAGCCGTGCAAGGATGCACCTCCCGGGGCTGACCTGGCCACGCCACTGCTGCCCAAGAGGCAGCCCAGCAGGGACCATTGGTGAGCTCAGAGTAGCCTGGGCCCTCACCCCTCACCACGGTGCTCCTGAGATGGAAATGGGGCTGGGAAGGGACGCAGGGGCCAGCTCCAGGTTGGGGTAGGTTCTTCTATTACGCCTGCAGGGGCATGCTGATGCCGTTAGGAATTCCAAATTGGCTCCTTGCCTTCCAGGGCATTCTGGTGGTGGATTCACCACGGTGAAAGCGTGGGAGTGAGTCTACTTTGTCTTGCAAGCCTAACTGGTTGCCTAACCTATGTGGACATTTAGTACCAAGGCTTCTATCAGCATGGGGAGACTAGTTGAAAAGTCTAGAAGTGAATGGGACACGAGACAGCCCACTCACTGTGTGGCGTAGTGTGTGAGCACATAACATCACAACTACCGTTATTATCGTTATGGACAATAATAATTTCTCACACCCACTGGCTCAAAGTCATTTCCTGAGTGGTTCACACCTACCTTCTCCCCTGGAGTTGCCGAGATCCTCCAGACGCAGTGGGAGTAGGAAGGGTAGCCGTTTGGGAAACCAGGTGCGGAGAAGTTCCCCGCCGTGTCCTGCAGGGTCTCCCCACACGCTGCATGGGCAAAAGCACAGCTGTGATCCCGGCACACGCCCCCACCCAGGCAGCTCCCCAATGGCTGCAAAGACCCCTCCTCCCGCCAGACCCTCACCTCGCTGGTGAGAAGTGTACTCTCAGGCATATCGACCTCTTTTTGGCTAAATAAACAGAACATGGAGGGTGGATGCATTCACACCCCAAAGTCCAGGGCTTCACCCCAAAGGCCAGGACTTTGGTTTGCTGGTGTCATCCTGTTAAGGGGTCCCCTCCAAAGTGTGTGAACTAAGCATGCTTATGCAGCTTTTCCTACAGGCAGCTCAGCCTCTGCATAGCAACCACTGCACTGCCAGTCACCCCTGGAAACTACTGGAAGCTGCACTTTGGGAGCTACAGGGGGGCACAGAGAGACCAGCCAGCTCATCCTTGCCTCAGGAAATCCTGGATGTCGGGGCTTCGGTATCATGTTACTGAACAACTGCCAGGCATCATGAGGCCCGTGCCCAGCAGTCACCACCCCCAAGGGCTTCATGGAAATTATTTTAGAATAATCACCAACATTCTGCAAGAACAGATACATTACTGCCTGGCTCCATGGTATTTACCAGCTGCCCTGAATCCTTTTGGGAAGCGAGAGGCATATACATTATAACTAAATAAATAGGATGGCATTTCCTAGGGAAAGCTATAAGGTTTCTCTTTCAATTCAGCCGGGTTATATGATATGTATGTCCTGTATTTCAGCTCTAACATGTCCCCAGATGACTAATCGTTGGATGGACATATTTCCTAGGGTTTCATGGGGGAGCAAGCTCCACGCAGCCCTTGCAAGCCCTGTGCTTAGTAGGGTGATGTGATATTCCAGCTATAAGATGGAGCAGATTTCCAATATTCTGTTCCATGATCAAGTCACATGTGAGTGAGGGAAGTTAGAGAAGGTGAGAGGATTTCCTTCTTCCCCGTGTCACCGAGTTGCAGGATAAAAATCTGGCTGCTGTAACCAATGTTTTGCACTGAAGCTCAACAGCTACATGAGGTGGATGAGAGTTCACCCCAGGACAGCGGGTGTGGGTGTGTGATGATGCCAGAGGGACAAAAGGAAAAAGGGAAAATTCAAGGGGGCGGGGGCCTGGACCGGCAGGCACTTGCCAAGCCCAGGATGCCACCCAGTCTCAAGCAGCAGACTGCTGATGGCCGAGCAATCCCCCAATGGCCAGGCAGCCCCGAACCACAGAGGTGACCCCATAAGGCACAGAGGGTCCTCCGTCTCCCTGGGCTTACTCTTCCACAAATGTTCTTTGTTCTTTGCCTTCCTGCCAAACCTTCAGCTCTTGTTTCCCCAAATCCAAAACTCCTACTTCCATTGAAAAGAGAGGTTCTCACCTTTACCGGGTATACACAGCACCCCTGTCCAGTTTGTTCCACTATACCTTCTTCCTCTTCTGAACATCAAGCCAAAGGATCCCAAAGCTTCCCACAGGCCAAGCTGAGGGCTCCAAGCCCTATTATTCACCTGACTACCTGCGACCACTTCACCATTCAGGCTGCCCACTCCGCCTCACACCTCCTACCGGCACATGCCAGAAATGACAGCCACCAGGGAGTTGTGTGATTGGGTACCCCAGAGTGTCTTCCCAGCCAGGAGAAATGTTTCACTTGAGTGATGCTCCCGGGTAGCGCTCTGGAGGGCCCGGAGAACCCGCAGAATTCACAGTACCTGGGCACTTGTACAGCTTCCTGGCTTGAGCTATGTCTCCCTGGCTGAGCCGCACACGCTGGCCAATGGTTGGCCTGACTCCATTGTCATCTCGACGGGGGAGGATGGTGTCCAGGAAAACTCCTCTGCAGGAGGCAAAGAGGGAGAGAGAAAGGAGAGAGAAGTCGGGCTGTGCGGTCATCATCGGGGATTTGTAGTCTGCATTCCTTGGCCCCAGCCCCGTCAAGGTTCCTACTCGCCGGCCACCCTCCCCAGCCCGGTGCCACAGCTTCCCTCCCTCCTGCTGGCATGGCAGCCTGCTCACATGCCAGTGGAACACCATCATCGAGTTTAATGCTCAGCCCTAGACCAGCGGCCCTAGGACTCCCTGAGGATCTCCTCGCTGCCCCAACACTGAGATCCTGTGGTGACCACTGCACAGGTGCAGGCAGCATCGCTCAGAAGCTGCTGGGGGTCGGGGGTGTGCCTGGAGCTGAGCTGTGGGCAGAGACCATCAGGGAGGCGGCAGAAAGAACTTGGGAGCCAGCTTTGGGTGAGATGCTCGGGGCCTGGACAACAGTGCTGGCTGATGACTTGGGGAGTGGGGCTGACGGTGTGGGGGACTTGCTGGCAAGAGGATGGATAACCCACTGGCAAAGGAGGTGGCACTGACAACGGGAGGTGATCGAGAGAGCCCTGGCCCAGAAACTGCGGGGTCAGGCCTGGCTATGCCACCTGAGTGGGCCTGACTAGCCATTTCCCTTTCTGAGCCGCAGTTTACCCTGCTGAAAAAACAGAGGTTGGCCTAGAGGTTGCGGCAGCCCCTCCTAACCCTGACATTTTATTCTGCTCCTGTGGGAGTTAAAACTAAAGTGATCAAAACAGACTGGACACTCTTCTGGAAGGCAGAGCCTACCCTGAGCTAGAACTTTCTCCAGTTGCACTAGTGTATGCACCCTTCTTTCCTTTTCTTTTTTCTTTCTTTACAACACTGTGTATGATCTTGGGGAATCTGCTTCACACCTCCTCAGATGGATGTCACCACACCCACCATGAAAGCACCCACAGTCCTTTGCCCTAGGCCTCTGGGCACCCTCATCCCTTTCTTATTTATCCCCTCTCCCCCTCTATTAGCATCAATTCTACAGTCATATTTCTAAGGTTTGTTTTGGCTTAGTCTTATCAATTCCTTTGTTTTGTTTCTCTGTACTTCACATACAAGTGAAATTATCCTATACTCTTTGCACTATTTCTAATAGCCAAGTTATGGACCTACCTAAATGTCCATCAACAGAGCAGTGGATTAAGGAAGTGCGATAGATTGATACAATGGAATATTACTCAGCCATAAAAAGGACAAACTCTTCCATTCTTAGCCAATGAATTGCCCCCCCCATGCTGACTGCCCACCTTAATTCACCCTTCATATGACCACCCAGTGATGGTCACCGATCACAGATCAATTGATAAATTGGATGGATATTATTAAACTTCACCTGACCTCTCTATAGCACCAACACCTTTACTGCCCTACTCCCTAGACACTGTCCCAAGTAGATTCCCATGGCTCTGCGCTCTCTGAGAAGTAAGTCAGGATCCTGCTTCCTCTGTAAGTGACCCCTTCAGGTATTTGCCTCACTCTCCTCTCTCCTCTCCCCTGCCCCCCCTTCAGGTATTTGTCTCACCCTCTTCTCTCCTCTCCCCTGCCCCCCTTCAGGTATTTGTCTCACCCTCTTCTCTCCTTTCCCCAGGTCCACCTGTGCTGCTGTATTTTACCCACCACATTTAGGCTGACAGTTAATCCTGTTTCTAGGCCCAAAGTCAGCTGCTAAACCAGCTGTCTGGCCACCCCTCCCCTGCACTATCCTATGGGTCCCGTGGGTGAAATTCACTCAAAACCAAGTATATTCCATTTCTCTCGCCTTCCATGGGCCTTGTCTCCTGAGGCTGAATCTCTAAGACATCCTGTTGTTCCTTTTTCCTCACCCTCCTGTTTCAAAACCAGCAACCATCAGCAAACTATGGCACCATCAATGGACGCCTTGAATCCATGTGCTTCTCCTTGTCCCCAGAATATCACCTTAGCTCAGGCAGTCAGCATCCCCTTCCTGAACTCTGCTGGCTGGTCTCCCTGCAGACTCAACCATCTCTGTACTAGCCCAGTGCTAGTGTGATCGTCCTGAAATGCAAGGCCTGCTCTGTGCTAATAAAATGGTTCACACTGACAACAGTGTTAATAATAGCTGTCTCCTAAGGGGCAAAAAAGCATGGCATTATAAACCAGAGAGCATGGGGGGGGGGGGGGGATGGAGAATAGAGATTTTCTTTTTTAAATAAAGGGGAAAAAAAAGAAATGCCATTGCTAGAAGACACCCTGTCTGCTTTCTTGCCTCAGCTCTGACTTCAGGGGTTTGCACAGTCCTTGGCACAAAGGAGGCACCAAGAAGGAAATGCAGCTCTTACAACCTATTAATAGTAACTTATCTAAAATTCCTTACAGAGTAGATGCTTGTAGATTCTTCTTAACAAAGCGACTGTCTCACTAGGAGTAGGCAGCAAGACTGCAATGAGCATACTGGAAATTTCTTCCGTCAACTAGAGCATCAAAGATTCCCCTGTCTCGTTTGATCCACTCATTCCCTTACTCATCCCATGCATAGTTACTGAATGCCTGCTTTGTGCCAACCACCAAGATGGGTGCTGTCCTCAAAGATCTCAGTCTAGCGAGGGAGAAGAAAACATGACATGTCGACCAGTGGGTAGTAATAATCAGTCAAGGAATGATAAAGCAATAAAAACTATAAAAACAAGACCCAAGGTCCAAGTGTCTCATTTGGATCCATCTGATATTAGCTCCTTGACAAAATCAATAGCTTGTCTCTGCTTAGCAGCCCATGACCCTTGGGCTGGTAAGCTTGGGCCCTGCAACTCCCTGCACCATTTCCCAAACTCGTGTCAGACAAGTCCCAACACCCTAGCATCTCCCCTCTACCTCCTGGGGTGGGCTCTCATCCTGCCACTCAATCAGATCCTGACCATCCGTTGTAAACAATAAACCCAGCCACACTCAGGCGACCAGCTACCATCACTTGTGACCAGTGGGCAAGAGGCTCACATCCTTGTTCTCACGTTTCCAACCTCACTTACCTGTGAATCCTCAAGCAGGTAGAGCTTCCTTTTCTTCCTACTTTTAAGAGTAGTTTTAATGACATAAAATTCATATATCACACAACTGCCCCATTTCTGCTTCCACTTTGCATTCCCACCATCTTATTTTTTTCATAATCTTTACAAAAATAAATCAAATCATGTCCTACTCCTGACCAAAACCTTCTACTCATTCTTTGTCCAACTTATAAAATCCACACTATTTACCATTCCTCTAAAATGAACCCATGATTTATAGGCCTCCCAGCTCTGACCCAGCCTAGCTCCCAATAACCCAAACCTCTTCTAGAAGAGCTGTCAGTGCCACCAAGCCCGCACCAAAGATGTGCTGGAGAAGGTCCCACACCCATGGAAATTTTACAGCGCCTCTGAGTCATTGCCCCAGTCAACCTCTCCACGATTTCTTCTCCAGCTTTCTGCTTGTGACATTAGGGTGTGATGGAACACCAGCTTCACAAGGGGATTCAACTTTATTAGTGGGGAACTGATTAGATTAGATTTCACTGCAGCCCTGAGGCCACTGGATTTCAAGGGCAGAGACGCCAGCTGAGCTAGGGGCCTGCAGGCTGGCTCGCTGCAGACCTGCAGGAATCTGACCCGAGCCTGCGGCAGGCACAGTAAAACACACCCGAGGCACACGCAGAGATTCCAACCTTGAGAAGGTGTTCCGGGCGTAGTGCATGATGCTGTCGAAGTCGTACGTCTCTCCCAGGGAACTCACTTCCCCAGCTTCCATTTTTAAGAAATTATACTCCTGACCTGTGACACAACACTCAGTTAAGGCCTTTGAAAACCAAATCAGGCACCTGAAAGGAGGCAGAGGGAGGAGAGGAGGGCCCCGTCGAAATTTCCAGTTGCTCCGCCCAGTCAGTCAAACAACAGGGCTTGACGTGGTTCTTGTTTCTAACAAGAAACAAGTGACGTGGTAGGAGGAAATCTGAACCTCAGAATGAGTCCGATCTCCCAACACCCTCCTGCCCCAAACCACCCCCACCAAAGGGCCCTTCCCCAAGGACCCCTGGAAAATCTAGCAAAGTTTGCAGATTGGTTAGTTATTGATCTGGTTGCCTCCACCTGCCCCTCAAGTCTGACATTGCTATGTACAGAAGAGAAGCAAGCAGTGTCGAAATCAGTCCCACGTAGTCACAGTTCAGACCCTCAAAACAAATGTCAAGGCAACCGTGTTACCCAATCAGCTATTTTCATTCTATATAAACTTATGTATGAAATTATTTAACATGAGAAAATAGTTCTTTAAAAATCTGGACACTCCATCTGCCTCGGGGCTGAGTGTTCTAGGCAGCAGTACTGTTTCCACGTGTATTTGTGTCCTAATTATATTTCATCTCCAAAGAGATGAAATAAGTCAGCAAAAACCGACTCTCATAAAAGCTCCATGAGAACTTTCTGGTTTATCAGCTTTTATCTGCTACCATGCTGTGGTCCATTCTGTTCCTTCGAGGAAAAGCAATTGGATTTCCTGGTCCTTTAGGACATAGAAGGCCCTTTGGCTTCTGGTTTAAACTACAAGATCCGGCAGATAACCCGCCAGGAAGAGCCTTGGCTGGACAGTCGCTGCCTCCACAGTGGGGTCACCGCCTCCGTACTTCGCAGATGAGCCTGGGCGGGCGGCTCCCGGCAGCCTCTCTCAATCACTCCTTCCTGACCCAGGAACGTGCTGCCCGGTGGCTTCCAGCCTCCACGCAGGCTCCTTACCTGGCTGGATGTTTTCTCTGATGATGGTGACGTGCTGGTCTCTGTCTGGTCGAGTATGTTCATGCCAGAACCCAACCACATGGCCCAGCTCGTGCGCAACAATGCCAAACTTGTCACAGTTTTTCCCAATGGATATGGCCTGAGGGCCTCCTCCTCGCCGCCCCACGTAGGAACAACAGCTGGACAATAGCAGAAATACCTGGGTCAGGTGGGCAGGGAATAGCTAGTCTAATGTCCCTCGCCCAATACATGGTGGGGAGCTGTGCCCGAGTGTGTGTGTCTGCGTCGAGAAACACAGAATTCCACTGCTTAAAGCACTCTCCCAATACAGCAGTTTCCCCCAAAAGTAATTTTTGACCTTGTTGGTAGCTAGCGGTCACATTTTCAAGAACGATATGGCCTCTCCTCCTAGCACAAAGCCCACAGCATTCCAGCTGGCCTCCGGCCTGATACAAGGAGAAGAGGCAGGGAATGGAGGCAAATGTTTTCATAGTGTGAGCTTGGTATTCTTGCTAGAGTCATGGAGATGATCCTCCAACTTGGTATAACGATCTTTCCAAAAAACAGTTACTCATTATTCCTAACACAGAAAGGTATAAGAGAAGAGATTAAAATGGCCTTTCAACGCCACCACTCACATAACTTACAGAAAACATTAAAAAAAAAAAACTCATATCACAAAAGATTTAAGTATTAAGTATTTAAGTATTAAGTCACCTCTACCTCCAATCTCTTTATCCAAAGATAATCACAGTTAATAGTTTTTTGGATATCCTTCCAGGAAATCAGTATACTTATATATGCCTTATTTTTAAAGTACAGAGTACACTCTGTATATTTTCCTTCATCTGGCCTTTGATCCTTCATGATTTAGAGACCTTTTTACCACTGCACACCTAACCTCCTCCATTCTTTTCAAAGCCACATGGTAGTAAAATGTAATCAGGCTCCTGTTAATGTACATTGAGATTGACACCAGTCTGTGCTCTTTAAACAAAGCCTCTGGGGATGAGGAGAGAAAACAAGCAAATAAACAATTATACAAAAAGAAAAGGAAAGCAAAGAAATGATTGGACCTTACTTCTTTGGGGTAAGTTCCTGGCAATGGGATAAAAATGTGGATTTGAAGTTTCAGTAGTATTATCAAATTATAGTACTGAAGTATTATAATAGTGTTACACTGAAAAGCCTTATTTCCCCACAACCTGGCCAGTACTTCTATACAACTATTTTTGCCAACTGAATAAGGAAAAAATTGTATATTGCTGTAGTAAAGTGGATAGTTTTTCATGTGTTATGTGTCATTTGTAATTTTTTTCATCAGTGAATTAAGTGATCACCTCTCCCCCCAGTTTTATTTGGGGTCATTCATCTTTTACCTATTGATTTGTAAGTACCTTTAGTAAATTAAGGAAGTAAGTCTTTGGCTTGTCAAATGTGTTGTAAATATTTTAGTAACCTTGTTTCCCATTTGACTTTTCTTTTGTACTATTTATGTTTTAGTTTTGCCATATGGAATTTTTAATTTTTAACATAAGGTCTTCATTTTCTTATGCACGACCTAGGAAGGCCTTCCATAACCCCAGATCATAATTTTGCTTCTGATACTTTTAAATTTTTTCTTTTGAAAATATTTTTACATGTTTGATCCAATTGAAATCATTTTGGCGTAAGAAGTGAGGTAGCAATTCAGTTTTGTTTTCTTCAAAATGCACTATCTAATTACTCCAATATTCAAATATCCCAATACAGTAATCCATTTCTTTCAAATTCATCTAAAATTTGTGTATAGGCATATTCATTCTAAATGCATTGCTCTATTTATCTAACCTTTTTTTGAGTTTTGAATGTTTTTATGTATCATTTGTATCTTCATTTTCATTTTCATAGCTTAGATGTCTGAGTAGACCATCCGACTCCGCCCCAAAGCCCCCCCCTTCCCTACCTCTACCATGAGTGTTTATTTTCTCTCTTTCTTAATTTTTTTGTTGTTTCTACATCCCTCCAGATAAACTTTAGTATTGTTTGTTCAATTTCTAAAGTGTATGCATACACACCTATATATATATATGTGTGTGTATATATATGTATATATGTATATATACATGTGTATATATATGAATATATACTTATATCCACACCCACATATACATATAGATGAATAGTGTTTAAATCAAAATGCCTTGAATATAGGTTATTTTAGGGGATCCTGACATCTCTATTATGTTATGTATTCCCATAATAGGAAATAACCTGCATTTCTATTTTTCTAATAGTTCTTTGAAGTTTTAGTATTTTTATCTTACAGGTCTGACATATTTTTGCAGTTTTGTTTCATATAGCTCCAGATATATTACCTACTATGTTTCTGTTATGTAATTTTTCCCATTATAAAAATAGTGCATCAAATTATTTCATTATGAAGAAAAGCCATTTTTGCTTATTAATTTTATAATCAGTCACATTAATAGTCACCGTTTCTTTCTAACAGAATTTCGATTAATTGTCTTAATTTTCTAGACACACAGGTGACAAGCATTACCTTGTTCCTACCAATATTCATCATGTTTATTTCTTTCATCTAATGATATTAGCATTTCCAAAAACAAATGTTAAAGAATTTTTCAATCGTAAGCATCGTTGGCTTGTTCCTGATTTTAACTGAAAAGCTTCTAGGATTAGTAAATACGATGTGGACTTTTGGATTGAATATACATGTTTACATATATATGATGACATAGGAATAGATGTTTATTTTTTGGAAGTCAGGGACCTATCCTTGACATCTATTCTTGTGTTACCTTGGTTAGTTTTGTAAAACAGCACCAAAAAAGCCTGTATTATACAGAGGCCTCTTTAACATTTCCTGAAATACGAATATGGCTTCTCTCCCTTGACCTATCAACCTACTGAATGATAGGCACGGACTTGCTAAGGTTGCACGACTCCAGCGTTTTCGTGGTCGACGGCCCCTCTATTCTTGTACTGCAGACCTCCTCTGCTAACCTTTGGGGCTTTGCATGGCTATACAAAAGTTAGACGAGTCCATCATTTTTTCTTTTTGGTGCCATCTTTGTTATTTTTGGGGTAGAAATGCCAAAATGATAGTTCCTTAAAATCATTTGGAAGGAATTTTTCTATGCTTTAGAAAACTTAAACAGTGCCAGAAAAATCTGGCACTAGAAGGTTTGAAAGACTTTCATCTGTGAAACTAGATTTGGTATTTGGGGAGAAATAGTGTTTCCTCTCAATTTTTCAACTTCTTTCGAAGTCACTGGTCTATTGCAGCACTCCGTATTTGTTATGTCATTCACAGTATCCAGTTTTCCACACTTTTTGCCTTGAGTTTTGAAAAGCACTCTTTTATACTTCTGCTGAATCTGCGGCTCTCTTGCCTCCTTCATTACAGATTTAACGTACTTCTGCACTGTCTCCTGTTTTTGCTCTTAGACTAACAAGTAGTTTATCTCCTGCTCTGGTTTTTTCCTCCCAAAGAACTCCATCTTGAATCTATTAGTCCTATAATGTGTTGCCTTGTCTGTATCCTTTTGGTGTCTTTGATGTGTGGTAGTTTGTATGTACCTACTTTGTTAACCTCTTTGATTGAATAATGCATTCTCATTCTTAGTGATCTGGATGTTCGAGGCCATGCTTTTTCTTCTGGAGAGCTTTAGCCACATAGCTTTAATTTCAAACTGTAGACTTTTCATTATCTAAACAATGTGCAATTTTAATTCTCATTGCCTATGACCTAAGAATTGTAAAAAGGGGAGATTTTAACTTCCCAGGTAATAGAGAGGTGGTTGTTATAATTTTTTAAAGATTTATTTCTTCATACATACAAGAACTAGAGGCACAGGTCAGACATGAGCAGGGTGAGAGGATTCACCAGAGACAGATTGGGGAACAGAACAGTCAGATGGATGGAAATACTCTGTTGAGGGGAGCAGTGGCTAAGATAGGAGAGGTCAGCTGCGCCATGTAGGTAGCTCCCTAGATGGTGACTGAACTCATGCTGCAGTGTTTACAGTTAGTTTCATAGTGCTGAGACTTATCCCTTTGCACCACCAGGGAGGCCCATGTTTATTGCGTTTTTTGTTGTTATGGTATTATGTCTACTAGTTTCATTGTTTTGAAATTACAGAGTATTTTAATACCAAGTTCTGCCATTTTGAATTCACTGACATGTTCTAATATTTAATAGATAGTCAATGTCTATAAACTTTCAAGAGACGCTTAAAAAAAAAAAAGATATGTTATCAGATTGTAGAATCTGAAAGACCCATAGGTCAACTCTATTTCTTTTTTCAAATCCTCTAAAAATCTATACTTGATTTTTGGTCAACTTGACATTGAAACAAAATATCCTGTTGCTGGTATTTGCTTCAATTGCCTGGGGCTTGTTTTATGACTGTAAATGCTATGCTCTTTGGTGCATAAGGACCTATGACAGTTATATTCTCACAGAAGCTTTCTCATTACAAAGTATCTCACCTTTTCTTTTTTCTTTTTTGACACTTTCTGACTTTAAAAACAAAACAGCAAAACAAACAAAAAGCCTTGATAATAACTAAAATTGTAACCCCACTTTCTTTTGTTAGTATTGGCTTGCATGCCCTCTTCTTTTACTTTTAAATCTTTCTGGGTCATTTTCTTTAGTAGTGATCTCTTGCACACAGCATGTAGTTGGATTTTCGAACCAACATAGGTTTCTCTTTCAGTAGTGGTATATCACAATAGCAGCGTATATCATACTTATATCCACTGGATTATACATTCAGTCATAATCCAGTCATGTTACTTTTTGTTCTGTTTTTTGCAGGAGGTCAGTAAACCCATACAATTGCATGTGCATCTATGTACATCTATCATGAGCAAACTCAGAGCTTCCTCATATTATAAATGGGCCCACTTAATCCAAATTAGTTCAGAAATACTTCTCAACCTAGAGTCTTTCTCCTGACCCACCTGCTTTGTCACTGACTGTTCACTGAGCACAAGGGGAATTTCTGGCAAACCCTGGATGCCGATATATCACAGGCCACTACAAATACATGGTTCTACAGGGAAAATTCTAGACTCACAAGCCATCTGATTTGTCTGCCTTTGATTCCACTGATGTGGTCTTGCTCTCACTTACTTACCCACAAGTTCTATAACTGAACACAATAAAGCTTTCTTCATCGGTCCTCTCTATGAAGGTCACACAGGTGTGCTTCTCCCAGTGTCTCATGGCCTGCTTAAAGATGGCCCTCTGCGATCCTGAAACCATAGAACAAGTGCTTATGACTTAACTCAGGGTCCATGCCTTCCTTAAATGTTCTAAAGAGTGCTGGCTTATGACAAAACTTTATTCTGATGATCAAAAAATTCTTGTTCTGACCCAAAAATGAAAGGCATGAGGAATAAGGATTTTTCCCTTGCTAAAAAGAAACAGCTTCTGAATTATCAACCTTAGGGAGTAGAAATTTCTGAGCTGGAAAGAGGGTAAAAATACTTTTTCAGTATGTCCAACTTTTACTTTGTGTTGAAAGTACAATTATATTGAAGAAGAGTGATTTTCTAAACTTTTTAAAAAAATCTCACCCAGGTGATCCAATTTGGAAGTTTTAGGCCTTTGAAGGAATGCACCAGCACTGTATTCTATGGCCTCAGTTTATAATGCACCTATGGGAAGTAACCTCACGTGGTCTAAAAATTCTGTCTTAAAAAAAAAAAAAATTCTGTCTTCATGCATATCCAATCCACTTTAATATGGGGTTCAGTGTTTTCTGAGGGGATTCTTGAACCTAATTTCAAATGAGGCCTTTGATAACAGGTGAGTTTCATACTTCCTCCAAATCTTTTGTCATATTTCCTTAATTAGAAGTCTCTTGAATAATAAAACAATTAAGTAAATCATGTAGGAACAAAAATAAAGTCACAAAGCCAGGCTAATAGTTAGAGATAACAAGTAATATTCTTTTCAAGATCTATTTAACAGGAGATAAAGAAGACAATTTTGATTTTGCTAGAAGTGAAAAGAAGGATCTAAGAAATCATTGTTTGGGAAACACAGGATAGTTGGGGATGAGGGTAGTTCTAGAGACCCTTGACTGCAAAATGAAGCCGCCAGTCACTGGGAGAGGCCCATCACAGGAGAGGAGATGTGGGTATGACCCACACTTTGTCTCCAAAAACGCACAGGTAGAATAAAGAGTAACTGAGCATCCATTTATGCTTACGTCCTGATACATTTTTTAAAAATAAATAATAGCTTATTTTTACATCATTTTGTGCATTTTTTCATCTACATGCTGATATTTTAGCTCAAGTTGTTTAGTGCTCACTCACTCACCAACACAGTAATCCTACAAATTACAGAAAAGCATAATGTCTCTGCATAAATAAAGTTCTTTATATACCATTAATTTTGAAGAAGGCTATATACATCTTTTGGTGAGAAAAGCATAGAAGATTAGAAGAACATAGTTAAGATTCCAAGGAACAAAAGCTAGCAGCTGTTTGAGCACACTTCCTTGTCTCGACTAGGACTGGTGCTCCCTGAGGGGAGGAAGAAGCCTTGCTCACCTTTTATCACCAATTGAGTATCTGAGCTCTGAGTTATGGCCATAGGAGTGAAAGGGAACAGAGGCCGGAAGGCCCCAGAGGGAGGAAGCGGGCACTCTGGAGATGCCCCAGACTCTCTGCCAGGTCCGTGTTCCCAGGTCACACTGCTCCTTTACTAACTTACTTATCAGTGGTTTGGGGAGACTTTGCTAACTGTCAGGGTTTCTGCTCCCTCAACCACCTTGCATGGGAAAGGCCAAAGAGCCACAGAGAGGAGATGGGCACACAAAGTCATGCCTGAGTGAAAAGCCACCTGGGCCTTTCCCCTGCAAGGTGGTTGAGAGGAGCTATAGGGTTGTGGGAATCATGCCAGTGGGTCTGAGACTCCAGTCAAGCAAAGATTTGGAGAAAGAACATTCTGGTCAGACAGAGGAGGAAATGCCAGTGTGCTGAGGGGCCATGAGGCGAGCATGTTCCAGAAAGGAGAGATGAGTGGCGAGGCCAGTGGCTGAGGGATGAGGAAGAGGGAAAGGGGCACAGACCCTGGAGGGGACTTCAGAGGCTACTGGCAGGGCCTGGCCATTCTTTAGTGGCAATGGAAGCGACTGAATGACTGAGAGTCTAAAGATACTACTCGTAGCAAATAATAGCTAATTTCAACAATACCTAATTTCTGGCTTTGTTCTAAGTGCTTTATCCAAATTAATTCATTACATTCTCAATCCAACCCTATGGGGTAGAAAATAGCATCCTCGTTTACAGAAGAGCAAATGAAGGTAGAGAGATTTAGTAACTAGCCCCAAGGCAAATTGCTGGCAAGTTCTAGAGCCAGGATTAGACCACATGGTCCATCTGCTCACTGTGTGGCTGAGGGCTGGGGTGGCCCAGGGTGCTTCCTACATCTACACAAGGACAGATGAGCTACCATGTGCAACTTCTCATACTCTGCTTCTGTCTGGAGACCTTTGCTCAAATTCCCACTGTGCAAACCTGCCTAGCCCAGGTCATAGGCTACCCCCTGCATGAACCCCTGGGGACTGGGTGGCCACCTCTGAGGAGGTAATCCCAACAGAAACTGCATTCTTCCCATGTCTGTTGTACTGGGTGCTGAAGGACAAGGGTATTAGCAGATAGGATTGCACTGTCTGGCCTCTGTCCCCCGCACCCCCTCCCCCCGGCCCCCAGTCCTTTCTGGGAGGACTCTGCCAGCCTAAGGAGACAAAGCACTCACCCCCAAAGCAGACCTCATCTGGGGCTACTGACCAGTGAAGTTTCCTCCAATGACATAGGGGATAACCCCTCCCGGCCATATTCTCTCTGTCCTTGAGGTTGTGGCTCTTCGGACCCGGGGAGAGGGCATCTCTGTTCTGGCATTCAAGGTCCCAGAACTCCGCGGAAGCTTGGCATCCTGCTTGCCATCTGCAAAACAACCATGCTACCAATTACTTTGCCCTTATAATTACTCCAGTACAGTGTGGTTGAATATGTTATCCATGAATTTCACAAAAGGGGGTGTTAAAAGATGTGTCCTAATGGGGGCAATGGTCTGTTCATGGTTTGGGACGCTGGGAGTTAGTTTGTTGGATGGAACAAGAGCAAGTAGCATCAGTACACCAGGCCTCTGATGGGAGTTGTCTGGACTTCGGTGGCCTTGGTCGAGGCTCTGTGGGGCTCCAGGTAGCTTGTGGGTCTTGAATCCAGGGTTCCTACAACAGTTCACAGCCTCCTGCGATGGAGCCAAGCTTTCCTCTCAAAGCCATGGAAACAGGTGAATGAGCTCAGCCAAACCCCTGACTAGATTAAATGCCATCAGTGTTGCAAATTTAGGGCATAATTTGGTCAGATGACAAGTACAGTGAACTGGTCTGTAACAATGGGAAAACAGAGGCTTCTGTAACTTAAACTCCTGGAAAAAGCACCCAGCCACCCCGGTCTCCCCTGCCAGCCTCCCACAGTTCTCCTCAGAATCTCAGCACATCTGGACCTTAAGAGAGAACGTGCAAAGCAAGTGTGAGGCTGGAGTTAAGGCCCTGAGTTTGTGGTAGGACCTCTAGGAACAGCAAAAATAGACCCCAGGGAATTGAATCTTTTAAACATGCAGCCCTAAGTGTATGTACGTACACTTTACTCATCATACCGATACTTCAGGTTTTGTGTTTAGTCTATTTGCTTGGAATTCATTATCCGTGCTGGAGGCATTTTCTCTTTAGTTTGTATATTCTTGCCCTAACTCTCAATTTTAGTTTTGTTGATTCCTTTCATTTTTCTTTATTTCATTAATTTATTTTGTTACTTCCTTCTGATTTTTTTTTTAAAGATTTATTTATTTTTGCATACAGAACTGGGATACAGGCCAGAGACTCAGGGGCAGTGAGAGGCTTCACCAGAGACAGAGTGGGGATCAGAACAGGCATATTGCGAAATACACTGCGGAGGGGAGCAGCAGGCAAGACAGGAGAGGTCTGCCACACCATGTGGTCACCTCCGGGGCAGGCGGGAATCGAACTCATGAGGAAGCGGCTTTAGATTCTCAGTGCTGTGCTTTAACCTGCTGCGCCACCAGGGAGGGCCCCCTTCTGATTTATTTTACTCTCAGATTTCCTTTCCAGTGTTTGCTCTTTTTTAAAAAGCTGAGATATCATTCATACACTATAATAGCCACCCTTGGAAAACGTGCAACTTAGTGGTTCTTGTATGTTCACAAAGTTGTACAACCGTCACCACTTATAGAATTCCACAACATTTTCATCACCCCCCAAAAGAAACGCTGTCCATTAGCCGTCTCCCCCTCCATTTCTAGATGACCAGTAAGCTACTTTTTGTTTCTCTGAATTTGTCTCACACCAGACATGTCACACTGCTTTAAGTAGACTTTTAATTCCGGTGGCCTTCCTGGTGGTAAAGCACAGCACTATGAAGCTCTCCACAGCCACTGCAGCACCAGTTCAATCCCCGGCCAGGCAGGTGACCCACATGGTGCAGGAGACCTCTCCTGTCTTGCCGGCTGCTCCCCTCACCTGTTCTGCTCTCCACTCTGTCTTTGATGAATCCTCTTACTCCCTGCATCTCTGAGCTGTATGGAAGTTCTTGTGTGCATAAATCAGTAAATATTAAAAAAAATTACTTTTAATTCCCCCCATGGAATTAAATCTTACATGGTGCCCCTGTATAGGCATTTTCTCTAGCTTCTTGAGTTCAGTGGTTAGTACTTTAACTTTTAATCTTTCTTATATTCTAATATTAACTTTAAAAAAAATTATTTATTTGTGCATACAGAACTGGGGTACAGGCCAGAGGTGCAGGGGCAGTGAGAGGATTCACCAGAGACAGAGTGGGGAGCAGAACAGGCAAATCAATGAAGTACACTGCTGAGGGGAGCAGCGGGCAGGTCAGGAGAGGTCTGTCACCTCCGGGGCGGGATTGAACTCATGCTGAAGTGGCTTTAGCTTCTTAGTGCTGTGCTTTAACCTGCTGTGCCACCAGGGAAGGCCTAATATTAACATTAAGTCTAAAATTTTCCTCTGAATTCCTTTTTATCTACATCCTATGCTTTACCATGTACATTTCAGTGTTATACATTAATATATGCTGTAATTTCCATTTAGACTTTCTTCTTCAGTAGTGAATTATTTAGTAGTGTGATTTCAAATTTCTAAATACTGTCTGTGTGAGTGTGTTATTGAACTCAACACTGCGTAATGTTCCATGGACCTAATTAATCTCCAAGGTAGGGGTCAGCAAACCTTTTCTGTAAAAGGTCAGATAGTAAATTATTTTAAATTTTATGGTCAGATAGTCCCCATGGCAAATACTCCACTTTGCCATTGTGGTAGAAAAGCAGCCATAAACAATATGTAAATGAATAGATATGGCTGTGTTCCAGTAGTGCTTTATTTGCAAAAACAGATGGCAGTTTGTGTTCACTCTTCTAGTCTTAGATGGCTGGACCATGCTCTAAGATATTAATTCACTGGTATGTTAAACCTTCTTTTATAGCCCAGTACAAAATTAATTTTTATAACTGTTTCACATGTCCTTGAAATAATATGCATCAATTTCAATAACTGATGGGTGAAGGTTGCTACATACGTTGTTCAAATATTCTAGTTACAAAAGTGTTTTACTCCTTGGTGTATCAGTTACTGAGAAAAATATTTTAAAGAACCTTCAGAAGTAAAACTGCATATTGTCATGGTTTCCCTGCTATTTAACTTTTGCTTTTGTTGTTCAAGGATTGTTAAATGTTCCAGGTGAAATTTTTCTTTTCACCGCTCATGACCCTCTTTATATGTAGTTATTTTCATTCAAAAGGTTATTTTGTATGATATTAATGTTGCTATACCAGTTTATTTAGACTAGTATTTGCCTCCGATGTTTTTTTTTATCCATTTGTTTCAATTTTTTTGTATTATTATGTCTTTTAGCGAGTCATTCAATGGGTGTTATTCTACGAGTAAATACATTTTTCACAATAAATAACAAAACAAATTTTGTAATATCAAATTGTTGGGGATCAATACTCTTTTCTAATACATATATAATAGTTTTGTAAATTGAAATTGTTATTGTAACTAGAATATTTGAACAATGTATGCATAGATTCACAAGCAGTTGCTCTAACCTCAAGGTATTAATCCTCTCTTTTCTCTGCTGATTCTTCTTTATGAGTTAAATTTTTGTGTTTCTATTTTGTGTTCTAGTTATATTCATTTTTAGGGGAGGATACTCCTGTCTTTAAGAGTCCCATTCATTACACTTCAACTATGACTGCGACCCTGTTTTTCACTTTTTTCAGGGCTCTTGGGATTTTGTGAATTTTAGATAAATTTTTAGGTTAATTTCTAAGTTTAAGGTTTCCAGGAAATGTAATTTGAGAACTTATATCTATCTGTATGAGGAACAGATTTGGGGTTCAGTTTTTTGCAGACGTTTTTCTACCCCAATTACAACCTAGGAAAGAAAGTGACACTCCTTACCACTCCCTAAAGAGAGGCATGAGTAGAGATTTTCTAGTTGCTCTTTATTCACATGTAGGAAGCCCTTGGAGGGTGGTCCTTTTATGCAAGGTCGTATTCCTCACCCCTGCCTCACACCTCAGCCAGGCCCCAGCTCCGGCACCTGTCCAGTCGAGACACGGGCATGGAAGCCAGCGTTGAGCCAAGGCTGTGGCAGTTTCAACGCCCTCTCTAGCTTCCCCACCCTTTACTTAGTTCTAAGGGCTTATGTTTCCTCTCTTTTATTTTCCCGATGATGGAAATTTTCTTTCCTTTGAGTTTAACGCTATTTTGAACGTGGAGTTTGGGGGAAGGGTAATTTTTTTTCCCAGCAGTTCTATGTTTTGATTAAAGTGCCAGTGGTCAAATTGCCAGAACCGGAAAGTTGAGGAGGACACATTTTAAACCTGAAAATAACTGTTTTACTGGTAGAATTTCTAGATCAGAAGTCATACACTTGCAACTCTTGGAATACACCCAACCCACAGATGTGTTTTGTTTGGCCTGGACACTTCTGGCCCAGAGTATTTGTTTTATTATTTTTTTAATCTCACTTTAGGAGCCAATTTTTAAGAATCAAGAGGTCTCACATAAGAATCCAGATCTTCTAGTTTTTCTTTAAAAATGAAAAGATCTGGCAAGGTTAGGCCCATTTTCAGTTCCTGGCAACCCATGAAGTTAAGTAGCACCTGTTCCCCACAGTCAGGGCTGCTGTGCTCCCAGCCGCGGGCTCTCGCTCGAGTTCACAGGGGCCCAGTCAGCCTCGGAGCGGTACCTGTTTGGCCTTCACAGATACCTTCATTCACTCCTGAGCCCACGACTTCACGTTGCGTCCAGAAGCCCAGTGTGAGTTGCCGAATGGACGGGAAGCTCCATGAGGACAGGAACTGTGGCTGGTTATATTTCCAGCCAGCACAGCGCCCCAGCTGGAGGCTAGCATTCAGTGCTCTTGCATTCTGGGTTTATTTATTAAAGATTGGATGACTTATTCTAAAAATAAACAACTCAACAGTCCAAACAATTTTGCGGCGGAAACTTCTCCAAAATGTTGGCAGCCCTGAAGCCCTTAATGTTTAAATCCTGAGAATCATCACGTCTTAAGTAATCACAGGCAGCGGTGTAGCAAGTGGAAGTTTGTTATTCATTTCCCATATGGTTTTCAACACGTCTCTTAATTTTCTTCCGCTGCCAACTCTTCTTTGGAGAACGGGCTAAAATACTTCTCTATTTGTGGGACTAGCACTGAGACGCAGCATGTCCCTCAAACAAGCTGTGCTCTACCCACAAGTGACCTGGTCTTGTTAGGGCCAGGAAGCAGCCGCGTCAGCGTGGGAAAATCTTAAGTGCACCTGGAAAGAGACTGGGGTGTAATTTCCAGAGATGGGTTATTGAATGACAGCTTCCCCCTCGGTCCAGTGAGAAATTTAATTTGCCGAGGACTCAACACAGGAAGCATTTGCCGATTAAAAATATGTCTAAACAGATGTTCTGCTTAGCCTGGAAGAAGGATCTTAATGCAACTGTCATTATTGGATTTTCTTGGATTACTACTATCTGGAATCGGAGTCCAAATAGAAGGATGTAATTATTTATTATGGCCAGGAGTCCTGCATTTGAAGAGGAGCTCAGGGCATCTGAGAGGATTTAACACACTAAGGGTAGGGTGGGGTGAGGATAAAGTCCATTTAAATTTGCTGGCCCTGGGAGTATTCCCTCTCCTCTTTGAAAAAGCAGAGCAACTGTAGTAATTCAAGGTTCCGTTTCCAGCTGAAGGCACAGCTATGTCACAAGCAGACCCAGTCCTGACCCAGACTTCACGGGCAAGGGGTGGTGAATTTTCAATTAGTCAACGGGCCACTCCCGCTGTCCTGGGGAAAGAGCGCCCTGCTGACCTGCCATCTGCGAAGGCCTCACCCCACAGGTGACTGGCAAATGTGCCCTTTTCCTGCGGCAATGCTCAAAGACCAACCAACAGCCCAGAGTGGAAGAGGGTGCGGGCCTCTATTACACCCTGGTTCTCAAACCTGGCTGCGCAGGTGATGCAACTGGGAGCTATGAAAAACTTCTGTGTCTGACCCCCATCCTGAGACTGTGACTCACTCGGTTGACTTCCAGTAGAGTCAAGGCACCTGTCGTTTTTTAGAGCTCCTCGAAAGGTGACTGAAAAGGTCAGAGACCTGTCGTTTTTTAGACTTCCAGTAGACTTCCAGCAGAGTCAAGGCACCTGTTGTTTTTTAGAGTTCCTCAGGTCATTCAAAAGGTTAAGCCCCACTGATTAGCCAGAGGGCACGAGGGTGGGTGCCAGAGGCTGAGTGGCCACTGTGGCCATGGACATGTCACCTACCCCTTGAGATTTCCTTCTGCCTGCAGTGCTGTTTGTGTTCTCAGCAGATGACGCCACACGCCTGCCCTGGCAGGGGCTCCATGCCAACTGCAGGGACCACTACCAAGGTCACGTTGGGGGACAGGCTAGAAAGAGCATCTGGGTTAGACTCAGTTCACACCAAATGCAAGCACCTGAGTGACTTTCAGGGGGTCAGGTGCTGAGTGGCTCTTGCACCCAAGTTTATGGGATGCCTCGCTCTATGGCAACCAGATTCTATTATTATTGCTCAACACAAAATCTCAGGCATGATTATAGAAAGGAAAAGGATTTCTTTTATGACTGCGAGTCTGGAAACCAGACTCTATGACAACTGTTCCATTCCCAGAGCTATTATACTCTGCCTTTCATTAATCCCACCCTCATCTCTGATATGCGTGCTGAGTTCCCCTCTCCACGGGAGGGAGGTTCCTCAGACTGAACGTTCTGCCAGGGGAATGCTGGGTGAGCAACTTTTTGAGCCCCCAAAGCTGGAAACATACATCCTCACCATCAGCGCTGAGGGGCCTCATAATGCCAGGAAATCAACCTGCTGAACTCTGGAGCTGACTAAATCCATACTCTATAGCCCCTCAAATGACCCCAGTTTGTCTGAGGAGAATGGCAGGCCTAACCCAATACCTCCACTTTGTGTTACAGCAGCAGAGAAGCATGCCTGGAGGTACCCAGCGCAAGCCTGAGGAAGATGGATGCCCCACAGGTGAAGTGAGAGCTTCTCTTTCCTGCAGCCTCCCGATTCCACCCCTTCAGCACCAGTGTTTCTAATAAGAAAGTTTCATCTGGTGAGACTGAAGACAAGACAAGCTGTGCCAATCCCAGGCTCTCCTTCATTCCTGCCCTGCCCTGTCTGCCATCCTCAGAGAGAGCGACCGCCTGCGCAGGAGAGGTCTGAGGGAGTTGCCAACCACAGGCTCCAGCAGCGTGCACGATGGGGAAGTGCTCTCATTATCTTATTTTAAAATGCTGAAGAAGATTTCTGGCTGCCTTGTGCACACGGTGCACGACCCATCATCCAAGAGCAGAATTTTGATGGACTCCAGCAGCCTTGTACCTACCTGCTCAACTGTGTTTTGATGCTGCTGTTGAATAACTGTGGGATCCCAGTCCAGAGGTGGACGGTAAACTTTCAAAGCTGGATGTGTAATTCTTAGAGATAGCGAGGGGGAAGGAAGACACAGAAGAGCAACATTCACTGAGCACCTTTTACGTTCCAGACATCTTCCTACGCACTTTGCATAAATCTTATTTCTAAGTCTCTTTACTCCTCATACAGGAATTGGATAACTTATCCAATAGCTACTAAGTGGGTGAGATGGGATGCCAACCGTGCGTCTAGCTATCCAAGTTTATTTGGTTGAGACACTTTTACACCCAGCAAATTAACAAGTATTAAAACCCCTGATAGCGTTGACTTCATGAGCAGGTGAACTGCAATGAGGGAAGCTGATAGTCTTCAAAGATGGCCACAGTGAGTCCTCTCAAATGTGGGTGCTCAACTACTTCTCACATTAAAGGGGAGACTCTATGTTCTTCTCCTTGAAACTGGGCTGGTCTTTGGCTTGTTTGTACCAGTAGGGTGTGGTAGAAACAGCACTCTGGGATTTCTGAGGCTAGGCCTTATGTGGTCTCACTGCTTCTGCCTCCTCCCTCTAGGAAGCCAGCCACTATTTAGTTTAAAAAAAAAAAAAAAAACTCAGGTTACAATAGTTTCAACACTTGGTGAAAGGCCATGTGGAGAGAGGAGCCACATGTAGGCACACAGAGGCACTGGGCTGTGACATGCTGTGACACAGCTTTGCTGGCCTGCCCAAGCCTGCCCTGGTGCTGGTTGAATGAGTGGAAGGAGCGATCCCAGCCAACAGCAGCAGAAGAACCACCCACTGAACCCAGTCAACCCACAGACACTTAATGATAACAAATAACTGTGTGAAGTCACTAAAGTGGGGGATGGTTTTTAGGCAACAATGAATGACTGACATTGGGAAGGAGAGATGAGGTGTGGCTTTATATCAGGCAGTATGATGCCTACATTCTATTTGAATCCCCACACCAAATGGTTACTACAAAGTGCTGATGACATGTGGCCAAAGTAAGATGCCATGAGTTTACTAAATGTCTGGGGATCCTGAAAATGCGTAAATCAAAACACCTTTAAATAAGCAAAGTAGAAAATGATGGATCTGAGAGGCGGCTCTGCACATTGTTCCAGTAAGGTGACAGCTGCACAGATGTTTACATGTGTGTCATCCCCAGAGAAGTGCATGCGTGAACACATGTGTATGGAGAAAACATGCAAAATTATTAGCATCCATTACCTGGGGAGGGGTAGAGCGATGTCATGTGAAAAAAGAAGTGACGGAGGTGGCCAAATTCAAGGGAAGAAAGAAAAACAAAAGCCAAAGGACAACACTAAAAAAGTATATGATGGGTCTCACCTCTATGCATTGTGTGGCGGATACATGCATATGCATATGTCAAACAGAAGTTAAGATTAAAGCAATCACTGATGTCTGTATCCTCCCTACATAGGTAACCTCGCAACGCGGGATCATAGTATTTAAAAATGATTCCTTTTACTCCGTGTTAGTTTATGGAGAAGAAATAGCATGGATGGAATTACATGAAAGGAGAGTCTTTAGTCGCGGTGAGGCCAGCAGCCTCTCTCCTCTGGCCTAACTTCTAAACAGGAACAGTTTCTCCAAAAGTGAGAGGTGTCCGGTGAGATGCCATCCCGTAATATCCAACTAGATGGTCTTATAACTGGAGCACTGGACAAGACAGCTGAGCTGGGACCTCCGAGCAGGCCCTGCAGATAAGGCAGCCCAGCCCACAGCCAGTGCTCGGCCTCAGCCCCACCCACTACAGCCTTGGGCCTCCATCAGCTCTGCCTTTCCCAGCCTCACGCAGCCTTATTTCCCTGCCTTTACCCTCACGGGCTCGCATTCTTTCAGACACCTAGTTCTCAAAGCCTCATCATCCCCCTTCAAAAGCCTTAGGGAACTTGACTCGCAAGTCAAGTGCTAGAGAGAAAAGTCAAGTCTTGATCCCAGAGTGAACCGAAGGCCGCACAGTCCCTGAGCAACCAAGCACCGCTCTTCTATCCCCTTCTCTGGCAGCCAGCCCGCTCTGCTCAATAAGAGCACACCCTTTCATGCCCACAGACTGCAGTGTGCCAGCCCATAAGAAAGACAAAACTGGGCCCTCCCTGGCACACAGGTTAAAGCGCAGCACTATCCCCAGCCACTGCAGCACGAGTCCGATTCCTGGCCAGGGAGCTGACCCACGTAGCGCAGCAGAACTCTCCTGACCTGCCCACTGCTCCCCTCAGCAGTGCATTTCAGTACATCTGCCTGTTCTGTTCCCCACTCTGTCTCTGGTGAGTTTTCTCTCTCTCTCTCTCTCTCTCACACACACACACACACACCTCTGTTTCCCACTTCTTGTATGCATAAATAAATAAATATTAAAAAAAAGAAAGTCAAAACTACAAGAGGACACCCCCAAAGTCAGGAAAGAGGAAATTGGAATGACTGTTTCCCTGGTACAGGGTCCTTTTTGGAGTTGATGATCTGGAAATAGATCGTGGTGAAGGTTGCACAACATTGTGGATTGCACACAAATGGTACTGTTATGTTATTTGAGTCTACCACAGCTAAAATGTACAAAGTACCCAAAGGCCTGATGGGCCTTATATTACCCTGTCTGGCTTCCTGGCTGCTGGTGTTCGCGACAGTAATGTTCGGCCAGCTCTCAAATGGCTGCTCTTTGAGCCCACCTACAGAGACAAGAAGAGAAGAAACATGAGGAATCATCAGCCCTCCTGCACCCCAAAAAATGCCAGAACCACTGGTGCATCGGTGAAGATGCGTTCAACAAAAGTTGACAGCACCAATCAGGTGCTGTTTTAGACATGGGGGTAAAAAAGAACCTGCTTTTTTATAACCACATGCAAAACCCACAATTATCGTAGTATTGCATTCCTTGACTAGTCCAAGGCCGTTGGGGATCAAGTGCACTAAGTTAACAGGCAAAGCCCAACATCCGCATCAAAATCAGCTTCCTCATCCCCACCTCCAAAAGAAAGCCCGAAGGCAGTGAGACCCGCACCCAGTCTGGCTCTAGGATCCCCCTACTGGGGTGGGGAATGCAGGGCCTGGCATCAGCGCTGCTCCTGAACGTGTGATGTGGTCAGTGACTGCTACTACCTGGGCTTTCTCAGAGTCCTGGTTTCCTCTTGGGGAGAGGGACCTTTAAAAAGCCTTTCTGTTTACTTTATAAATCAGACCTGTACACACCGCCTCAGTCAAGGACATGGATGCTATATTTGTTAGTAGTCGTTGCCTATAAGCCAGGTTGACATCCACGCCACCAGGAGCATGGTCAAGCACTGACTATAATTACACCTGCTATGAGCCAGGCATGGCTCCAGGCACTGGGAGCCAGCAGTGAACAACAGAGGTGGGTGTGCTCGTTCTAAATGGATGGCTGCACAGCAAACAGTAGGTAAGAAAGTAAGGGAACAGGATTATTGCAGGTTCAGAAAATGCTCTAAAGATTAAATTCAGCATATGGTAGCAGCTGCTTAGAAGGTAGTCAAAGAAGAACCTTCTGGAAGGTGACCTAAGGGATTGAAATTTGAAAGACAAGAAGGAACATGTAGACCCAAGATATTGGCCACAGCAGCGCATCACCAGCTGAAGGCAGGGAGGAGAAAGAACCTGGACCACAATGAGCTTGCCACATGGAGGGGCCAGCTGTGGCGGGCAGGTGGTTGGGTGGAAGGCCAGCGAGGGTCCATGCGCAGATATGAAGGTTGTCGTTGGAAGCACGGTGGGCTGATGGATTAGATATTCGAGAGGTGCCACCAAAGGACTTTTGCATTTGGAGTTTGCACAGACAGGTGGACAGTGACACTAGAGAACAGACTGGAGAGCAATGTGTGTGTCCAGGATACACTACTGTCCATATGAAACCATGTTAAAGCCATGACAGGAAAATCTTGACTAATGCAGTTATTTCTTGTATAGAAATGTGCAGCATGTTTACACCCAAGTTTGCTCATGCCCCTTCTTCCCTGATTCGAACACTCTGGTCGACAGTGTGTAAGCCCATTTCACAGAGGACAGAACGAAATGATTAGCACAGGTTTGCCCAGCCCGTCAGAAAAGCCGAGGGCCTGGGACGGTCTCTGGGGCGCAAGTCCAGCAAACCGGCCTCCGGAGCTGCTTGACCAAGAGTCCTAATGAGCAGGGAACCCCAAGTCCTGGCCCCAGACAACCGCAGGAGACAGCCCTATGGCCCTGCACCCCAGCGCCTGACACAGGCCACCTCTTTCCTACAGAGGCCGTGGCGCTGGCAGTGGCCCAGGCGCGCGCTGATATTTTCGTCTGCCTCCATCCTGCTCGTCCTGCTGCCTTTCTGGCCAAGTCAGAATCCACTCACACACTCCCTGCAGCTGCCGGGGTGTTCGCTGCCAGCTCCCAGCCCTCTGGGTATTCTTCCAGTTGCGATATCATTTCCTCTCAGGCTAAAGGTCAGGGGAAATCCTGATGGTATGAACATTGCTGGCCAGCAGAGGAATGTGCCATGTGTGGAGCTATGAGGCCTGGAACTAAGGCCTGGGACTAGCTTAGCTTTTGCTGGGCTGTAGGACAGTGGATAAGAGCAGGGGGTCAATACTTTTCATCTGTTAAATGGGCTGTTGCAAGGCCCAAATGAGGTAATGGGTTTGCTCAGGCACTCACTCATTCAACAAATATTTACCCAACACCTGCTACATGCCAGATGCTGTTTCTGCTGCTTGGGATACGACAGTGAACAAACTCTACCCTGACCTCATGGAAATTATATTCTGACGGCGGATAGGACAGAAAACGATAAACAAATAGGCAACTAAGTATGCAAGTCGGTTGTTAAGAAAGGCTGTGAAGAAAATGAATGAGGGTGAAGGGAACAGGGAAAGCTTGGGATGAGGGGCTGCGTAGCATGTGAGGCAGAGATTCAGAAACCTGAAGAAAGTAGGGAGAGAGTCTGCAGATGTCTGAGGAAGAACAATCTACACGGAGGAAACAGTAGGTGCAAAGGCCCTGGGGTGGGAGTGTGGCTGGCAGGAGGGAGGTGGGTATGCCTGGAATGGAATGAACAAGGAAAAGAGAAGGTGCTGAGGTGATGTGGTCAGTGGCTTAGAAGGTCTACAGGATGGGGTTCTGTGGGGCCCTGTGGCAATTTCCAGCATCTCAGCTTTTATTCTGATAGATCTAGATGGGAAACAGAAGACATCAAAGGGCTTTGTCACTGCACCAGCTCTGAATGTGACTGAGGTTACTAGTCGTGGGCATGGGGTGGGGGGCACGGGAGCTGGTCTTGAAAGGGTGTTCCATATAACCCTAGCATGGAGGGATAGTGAGTTGAGGCTTGCTTGCCTCCTGCCAAGTAAAAAAGTAAAATCTATAAGGATACCTGAGAAGCCCTGGTTCAAGGTTATTCAGAGTCTGTGTTGAGGGAGCAAAGTGCAGGAGAGACTGACTGACCCTCAGCTCTGCAGCAGGCAGGAGGGCAGGGGTCAAGGGCTTCTCTGGGTTCTTTGGTACTTGGTTATAACTGGAGCAAAAACTTTGGCGCTGGGGCGAGACCAGTGCTTCTCAGAAGGCGGAAGGGGAAAAGAATCGGTGTTTACTAAGGGCTGGTTGTGAACACTGACCACCGTGCTAAGAACAGTTTCTTGCCTTGACTTTTGTTATTCTAGCTTCATAAAGACCCACAGACAGAGGGTTATAAACATGCCCATATCAGAGATGATCTCCAAATCTATTGGAAATAAGGCTCCCAGAGGTGAAGTGACTTGCCGTCTTGAGGGCAGGGATGGCTAGTAATGACAGCTGGGGGTGGCTCCTGCAGGACCCCCTCTTTCCTGTCACTTCTCAGATTGAGCAACAACAGGTAGGGTTCCCGGGAGGGTCCGGTGATTCCCAAGGCATCCAGGCATTGTCCAGGAGTGAGGACGTCCAAAGTCGGTAACGAGGTTGGGGCCGTGGGCAGGTAGATTCGCACTTCTCTTCTGTCACTCTTACTGGCAAGACACTCGAGCACTTTTTTCTTACAAGGGCCACAAATCTTATGCTTCCAGTACAGTTAAGCCTAAAATCAACGAGGAGTTAATATGGCCTGACCACCCCCTAGCAGAAGCCCTTGTGAGGCACCCCGCTGACCTTGGGAGATGCTCCAAATTCTACCGGGGCTGAGGGGCTCCTATGATGGGACCCTCTGGCCTCCCCTAGCTGGTGCCTAGGCGCATCTCACTACTCACCCCACCCTTGCTCTGTGCTCGGCCACCCAAAATCCTTACAGCACCTTGGATGTCCATTACCCTGTTACTGGTGCATCTTCCTCAGCCACACTCCTCTTCACCTGGCCATATCCTACTGGTCCTTCAAGGCTCGGCTTGGCCACCACTTCCTTTGGGAAGCTACCCCATTGCTCCTCCCAGGTTAGATGCCTCGCCCTCTGTGAGCCCACAGAACCCTAAGCTTATTCACACCCCTCATCGGAAAGTGTTGGGATCTCCTGTTTACTTGATGATCTCCGCCCCCCCCCCCACGCTGGTCTTTACTTTTTATCATCTTGGAAAAAAGGACACTGTCTTGTCCAATATGACTATGTGTCTTAAACATAGACAGTAGGATGGATGGACTGATGGACTTATGGACAGACTGCTGGCTGAATGGGTGGGTCGGTGGATGAGGTAGACAGTGCTTAAACAGAACTCAATCATTTCTCATCCAGCCAAACAGATGGAAAGTTCATCTTCATCTGCTTTTACGAAGGGAAGAGAGCGATCTTTTTGGAACGATGGTTCTCACCCACTTGCGCTTGGGAACTTCTTTAGAAAAATATTGATGCCTGGATCCCATCTACAGAGGTTCTTATTTAATTGGTTTGGCCTTAGGATTTTTAAATATTCCCATGTGGCAGCCAAGGTTGTGATTCACTGTTCAAAGAACCTCATCTTGGGATAGTTTCTTACAACCAACTTTTCTCCCTCCCAAGCTCACCAAGGATGGAAGACGTGGAGCTGGAGACAGACACATCAAACACTAAGAAAAGCCGTCTCTCATGTCTCCATGAGTGGGAGGCATAGCCGTTTCAGTCAAAGCAAGAGTAAGACAGGTGTGACTGTGGCTGTCCCTGCAGCCTTAGGGACCATGGGACGAGGGAGAGGACGAGGGAGAGAGACAGAGCGTGATGCAGAGAAGACTGGGGCTGCAGAGGAGGGTGCAGTCAAGGTGGGGGGATATTTTTATCCCCTTGGGTGTGAGGGCAAGACAAAAAAATTTGGAAAAAATACATATATGTGTATATACTTGATCTTTGGTTAATTACCTCTTCAGTGAGAGGCTATGCAAAGACCTTGTAGATTTCATTAGTCACAGGGGTTTATTCAAACGTCTCCTTTGCATAAGAAACCCAGGCTTACAGCTGGTCTCTGGGAAAGAATGCCCTCCAGGCCTTGAAAAGAGAGCTCCAGGCCTGTCCATGCTCTCACTGAAACACAGCAGAGGTCAGCGGCCCTGATGCTTGGGGCCAGGCTGAAATGTTTCTATCCAGCATTTGCAATTCAATCCCACAGTTTCCTTTATGGAACAATTCACTAAATTCAGAGTTGTTCTTTTTTCTAATTCACCATATAATTCACCTCCCAAGTTCAATTAAGAAGCAATCTGTTAGCAACTTTGGGAGCAAGCTGCTTTTCTTTGGGAAAGCCCAATTTTCTTCCGC